TGATTTCTCATTCAACCCACACCAAGAGTCATATCTCAAATCAAAATGGACAGACATGTGCAAGGTCTTGATCAATAGGCACTCAACAAATATATATTGATTTGATGTAAGAAGTGCAGTCACAGATTCATGAGGGTGGACTCCTAATTCTCTATCCCCATCTCCCTATCTACAAAAGAACCAGATCACCTTCTGGGCAACAGCCCAATCTGAAATGGTCTCTCTCTTTATTTTCACCTCTGCTTCATGCCCTTCTTAGAAAATATTCTCCAGAAAAGTACAAGGTGTTCCTTTCAGAAATGATCAGATGCATTCACATAGAGACTGCAGTACTCTAATTGGGTGGTAAATTGCGAATGTATCTGGTACAAGATAAGCTGATGCAAATATTACTGAAGTGTTTTTTTTTTTGGATTTGGCAGTCTGACATGTCTGGGTAATTTAAAATTCACTCAGATGGGGTTTTGGTGGAAAAGCACAGCCATTATATATTCTCTTCTTTCATTAATTACATTTACATGGAGAGGTATGAATGTCATTAGGCAAAGAGTAGTACTCAATGTCATGAATTTCTACACCAGCTGCTAAGATGTCTGATGTCTTTACCATTGAGAACTCAGATAGGACTCCAATTTTTATGCCACTTGCAGTGTCACCTTCTGTCTACTCCCACATCCATCCATCCATCATTCATTAATTCACTCAACAAGTATTATGGACAGCTTTATCTTAGGCACTTGGAATACACTCGTGAACCTAAAAGACAACCCCCCCCTGCAAAACCTATCTCATTTCTGTACATCCCTGCTAAGTGAGGTGATGGCTCACACCAAAGATGTTCTGTGTTGGAATTTAGCTCCTAACTGGGGCAAACTTTAGTTTGGATTCTGGAAGGCTAAAACTTTGCAATCCAAAGTAATGAATGCCTTGTGATGGAATGATGAAGGGTGGAGTTGACATTCTGGAACCAGGGGTCCTTCCCAGCCCACCTCAAATGTCCTTTAGTGGGGCGGTAAGGCAGGTGCATAGATTTATAAGGAAGTGGAACCCATGTTTCCTTATTTTTAGTCTAGAATCCAAACTTTGCTAGATTAGAGTAGCAGTACAGTAGCAGATGTTATCAAGAAGAGAGTGCTGGTCAGCTTTCAGCTTACATAGGGAATATTTTGTTCTCTTTTTGTCATGCCAACCAAAAAAAAAAAAAAAGGGAGAGAGAGATCAGGGTGACAAGGGGATCTCAAAAACATGTTATGGGAAACTACTAATAAATCCTTTGCCTAAGAAACATTTGACAGGAGCTGATCAACTTTAATGATCAAGGTCTCCAGTAATCTGAAAGTCTTTCCCATTAAGGAGGGATTAGATACTATTTTTTTCTGTTTCTTCAGAGGGTGTGTAGAAGTTATTTATGACACTTTTCTATTTCTGTACTGAAGGGGGAAATAATGACAAAAGGTTATAAGGTCCCTGCTCAGATTCTCCAGGAGAGGCCAAGTATAACGTGACTTGTTGAAGGAATGAAGCCCTCACCCGTCTCATCAAGGAATTCTCTCTCAGGGGACTGTAGTGACCTCTGAAGGCCCAGAGCTTGGATGTTAGTATAGAGTCCAAATGTGGAATCCATGGTTCTGGAAATGCCTGGGATGGTTCCGGCACCTTCCGGGTATTCTCAGCTGCCAACTTGAAGCAAAACACAGTAACCTAGATTAAAGATGATCTGCTGATGGCCCAGAGTTTGCTTTTAGCCAGGGAGTGCCTACAGCTGTTAAACACTATTTCATCTGTCACCTCATTTACAGAGATGTGCTCCCATATCATTAGTCCTATTTTACAGATGATGAAACTGAGGTTCTGAAGGGCACTGAGAGCAACAGAACCCAGGAATCCTGGTTCACGGATGAGTATTATATCCACTCAGCAAGGCTCATATTTTAGACTGAATCAACAATGTGGACATCTTTGTGGAATAACAAGGTAGGAATTCAAAACCTGGCTGCTGGTTGCTTACTGATTAAAGGGTTGGGTCCTGAAAATGGAGGGAGGGAGGCACATTTGCAAAAGACCTCATTTCCTTCTTAAAGTTATCTCCCATGTCCACCTCCATGTAGCCAGATGTAATAGACTCAGTTGTTACCTAAATTCCTTCTGGCATGGCTGGAATGCTGACAAGGGACAGGTCTCTCAGAGGGTCACTTTGGTGATGCTGGTGAATGGGACAGTTAGTACTCAGAATCCCGTCCAGTGACTAAAAGGGGATCCCACCTATACTTTGTCAGGGACGGTCTCCCCAAGTATAATATAAACTGATTTTGAGATAAAACAATAAAGTTCTTCAATAAAAAGCACAAAAAGCAGGATCAAAAAAGCACAAGTTAAAATATTAAGAATTAAAATAATTAAATTAAAAAAAGGAGGCTCCAAACTTCACAATGAGGATTGAGGTGTCCAGTGTTGGAACTGGCTACCCCAAGGTGTTGGGACCCCATCAAGGACTGTGGTTGAAAACTTGTCTGGAATGTTCTAGAAGGAATTTCTCCAAACGCAGCACTCCGACCTCTGCATTAGTGCTCGTTAGAAATGAAGGTTCCTGGATGTGGGCCAGGAATACTGCTTTGGAATGTCTGCAGGTGGGCCAGGAGTCTGCTGGTGCTTCTTCACATACTGCGGTTTGAGAACTGCTGGCTGCGGCCTTGAGAGGGGAGCTTGATTTAATGTTGGCTAAGGTTTCGTCATATCCGGACAATCTCTAATTCTGTGAGTTGATCCAAGATACTTTCATTTCCTTCATTTTTTTAAATGCTTATTTTTAAAAAGCCAAATTCTTCTTTGCATCCATTTTTCCCCTAATTAAGCTTTCTCTTCATCTGACCTAACCCCATCTGTAAAACCAACACATGAGTTGTATTTGGTAAATGTCTCTTTCAATACCACAGATGAGCAAAATGCATTCCTCAGTGAGGCCTGAATGTCCCTTTTCCATGCACTGCCCTTCTCTGCCTTGTACTTTTTTTTTTTAGAAATGGGAGTGTGATGAGACAGGAATAGGATCCTGGCCTTTGCAAATGCGTCTGTCTGTCTTCTGGGCATCAGAATGAGGATGGGCACAAAAAGGAGGTTGCAGAGGACAGCAGGTGCTGGAAGGCCCAGGCAGTGCCCTGGAGGGGAGTGGTCCAGGTGCTGGCTACAGGTGCAGCTGGTGCCACATGGCGATCTGCCGGCGTGGGTTTTTGAGCATCTCCTCCCAGTGGCTGTGCTCGGAGCCCGAGGCGTGCAGGCCCAGGCTGCAGCAGCCGAGAGTGCAGCTCTGCCCCGCCTCATCCTGGCCCAGCACCTCCAGCTCCATGCTGGAGGCCCGCAGCAGGTCGTCGGGCAGCTCGAACATGATCATCTCATTCCACACGGGGTTGATCTTGTGCTTGGCCCGTTTTGTCTGCTTCTTCTTCAGCTTCTGAGCCTGGTGCTTCAAGGTCACCTTGACAGATACATCTGGGGAGGGCAGAGGGGAAAGAGAGACAGGGAGAAGGGCCAAGAGTGAGCTTTTGGGGTCTAATGGGGCCCAGGATGATGCTCCCTCCTGAGGCCCCCTCTGTACTCCCCAGTGGACCACACATTCATTTAACAATGATGGACTGCCTACAATATATGGCGGGTACTGGACAACACACAAGGACACAGCAAAAGGTTCTGCCTCTTCAGAACTTACTGAAGTGGGAGAAACAGACAATACCATAATACATAAGGTTGGTCGTTGGTTGGGCCATATTGGGACATGTTCAAGTGCCACCGGGGAATGACCCTTTGCTATGACCTCTTCCAAGAGACTTCATATCCCCACAACAAACCTGGTTCTGGACAATGACTCAGGTGTCCTGCAGCTGGATTTTACACTCAGACCAGAAAAACGAAGCCATCCCCATGTCTTCATCCCCTTGATTCTCCATTCAAGCATTTTTGTTTATTATTAAAATAATAGGTTTCCTGCTGGTCAGCTGGGTTCTTCTCATCTGTTCTTTTGAAAGTTTTACTTGGGGACCCTGATTTTGTGTGGGGAAGATAGGGACAGACGACATCCCCCCCCAACCCCACCCCAGGGCATTGTATTGCAGAGCTGCCCCGCAGGAAATTCTCGAACAGGTTACCAGACAAGCTTCCATGTATACTGCAAAGCTCAGGACTGGATTACTCTTTCATGAGACAAAGTTCCCCAAGCTAATGTGAGAATAATTGTTACTTTGTATTTATTGCTGTAATTATCACCCCTGGGTGTTTAGTTTGTTATTTTGGCAGATATCTTTGAGAGGCAAAGTGTTACATTGTAATTGTCCTGACAGGAGCTATGGAAAAAGAGCAAGAGGCAGAGAATTGTCTGGAGCAGATGAGAAAAAAGCATTTATCTATGACCTTTGGCTCAGGAATCTGCTAACAAGGCCAACTCTTCTGATTTCATTAGTCCCAAATCTTTTGCTCAAAGATTCTCAACAGTAGCAATTCTTTATTAGTATCCTGCTATAAACTGGGATTTGTTTACATCCTGCTCTGAGCACTGGGCTACAGTGCAGCTATCATGTGACTCCCCAAGGCTGCTTTTCCTGCTCTGATAAGAGAGCCTGCTCTGGTCCCCAAGACTTAGGACCTGTGCTGGGTATCCAGAAGGAAAAATTGAGGCTTCTAGAATGTCAAAGAGATGCTTATTTGGGTATATGGGGCACAGATGCCCTAAACCTCAGGCCTCAGCCCGTGCGCCTACATACCTTCTGTCATCACCCACACTCGGCTGGTGTGGGGGTGGCTGTTGGCAAAGACTGAGACGAGAGAAGAGACTGGGCTGGGTGTGAGGAGTAGAGTGGTGGCTAGCTGGGCTTCCTGACAGCTGCCAGAGAGATAAGTCCAGCCAGGTCTGGGTGGCAAGGGCTGCCCCAGGTTTTCCTACAGCCCAGTCACTCAACTCCATGGCTGTAGTCTGGCCTGTGGCTTCCTGAGATTCATGATTAAGGCTTATTATTATCGTGGTGGGTCTCCAAAGCAGGGAGCCCCAGGTAGCTCAGACCTGGATCCTGATGGATGGGTTTGGCTCAGGCATGAATGGACATCAGCTCAAAGAAGGGAGTGTGTCCTTCAAAATTGGGTTATGAGCTTGGAGTAGAGGACACAGCTGAGGGCGACTCCATAAATATGGTCATGTTCTACCTCCCTGCTCCTCTGTCCCCCTGCCTCCCAGGTGCCACCTCCCAAGCAGAGGGACCCTGGCTCTGTCCTCTGACACCTCACTCACCTTTCCCCAGAAACTCCTTGGACTGGTTAGAGTGGAGGTTCTTGGCTTTAATCAGCACCACCAGGAGGCGGTTGGCAGCTGGGAGGTAGCTGATGGACAGAAGGACCTCTCCAGTTCCTGCAGACAGCTCCTGAAACAGCCGAGGGGACACAAGAGGGGAGTCTCACTTGGGGGTGGCTGCTGACTCATCAACTAGTGCCGAGGCTGGGGTCGCACTGGGCTTTCATCCAACAGGCATCCTAGAAACTATTTGCCATCAATGCTGCTTTCTCACCCTTGCAGAGGGGAGTAGGACACAGAGGAGCTATTCATGACATGTGCTTCGATAGGCGTGTTTGGTCTGCCACAAAATGTGATTTTTCCCCCTATTACATATTCAAACCCAACATATAAAACAGAGAAAAGAGATGACATTCAGGATGTGGCAGAGGCAGAGGGCCATGAGCCCCCTGATCCTTCACTCCTCCCCTCTACAGACTCAGGGGCACCTCTGTAGAGCTCTAAGGCTCCAGAGAACACAGTTTGAGAATCACTGCATTGATTGATCAGGTTCCTGGGGCAGTGGGGAGTTGTAATTCATGACTCTGTCTTGAAAGATAATTCCTTCCAGCCCCTGCAGGCTGAGAGTCAATAAAGTGATGTCATAATGCTGAGCAGGGACTTGCTTGGTCAACAGTGGCCAACAATGTCAACAGAATGCTGGCGGCATGTGCAGGTGGAAATGCACCAGCAACAACTGTGACGACCGCACTTCAGGGAGGGGCTGATGCTTCATGAAGCACCCAACATGTCTGTCCCTGCATGCAGCTTTGCAGTGTCTCCACTGAAATCCCTGCAAGAGTTTGTCTGGAATTTCAGCAAATCCATTGAGGGACAAACGACTACCAAAGACTGCTCCCTGGAGGTGGGTGTTTGGTTGCAATGAAAGCTCTGGGGAGACCTAAGAGGGAACAGAAGGGATCAGCTGAAGGTCAAGAAGTCCCTTGTTTTGAGCAGAACGCAGATGCCCTGCCCTCAGAATCTCAAGGAGGAGGCAGGTCAAGCAGCCTGCTATGGCAAGATGGAAAGTGAGCTGGGAAAGGGGGAGGGACCACGGAAGCTCATCCCACTAGATGTCACAACTTTCAGTCCTGTCCCCCTTTCCCTCCAGCTGTGTTCTTCTTTCTCAGCTGTGCTATGAGGGTAATCTGGGGAAGTCGTCTCTACTCTGCCCCTGGAACCAGGCACTGTCAATGGTCACCATGGCTCCCTGTGCTTTCTCTCCTCCTGTCACACCCAGTACGTATGATGGTGTCTGTTCACCTCCACCCTGGACTGTGAGCACAGAAGGGCAGGAATCAGTTTTTCTTTGCTCACTGTGGCCTCCCCAGCACAGGGCCTGGCCAGTCGCTGGTGAGAAATGCCTATGTGCTAAATGAAGAAGCGGGCAGTGCAGGCCATGCCCCAGCTCCACCACTCCCTCACTGTGTGATGCTGGGCAAGGTACTTCACTTCTCTCTCTCTTAGTTCCTTCATCAGAAAAAAAGATGGATTCATTCATTCAGCAAACATGCATAAAGCACCTACTATGTTCCAGATGCTACAATTAAAACCATGAAGAAAACACAGTCGGCCTCCAGGAAGCTTTCAGTCACATGGGGAAGACAGACAGGAAGTGATTTGATTAAATATATAATATCAGGCAGTGTTAAATGCTATGAAGAAATATAAATACCAGCAGGGCTGGGATGGGCACTAGCCTCCCGACTCAAGGTCACGTATCAGAGGTCTACGGTTGGCCTGGGCTGTAAGGCTGCTGACTCATCAACTAGTGCCGAGGCTGGGGTCGCACTGGGCTTTCATCCAACAGGCATCCTAGAAACTATTTGCCATCAATGCTGCTTTCTCACCCTTGCAGAGGGGAGTAGGACACAGAGGAGCTATTCATGACATGTGCTTCGATAGGCGTGTTTGGTCTGCCACAAAATGTGATTTTTCCCCCTATTACATATTCAAACCCAACATATAAAACAGAGCAAAGAGATGACATTCAGGATGTGGCAGAGGCAGAGGGCCATGAGCCCCCTGATTGTCTGCCACAAAATGTGATTTTTCCCCCTATTACATATTCAAACCCAACATATAAAACAGAGAAAAGAGATGACATTCAGGATGTGGCAGAGGCAGAGGGCCATGAGCCCCCTGATTCTTCACTCCTCCCCTCTACAGACTCAGGGGCACCTCTGTAGAGCTCTAAGGCTCCAGAGAACACAGTTTGAGAATCACTGCATTGATTGATCAGGTTCCTGGGGCAGTGGGGAGTTGTAATTCATGACTCTGTCTTGAAAATAATTCCTTCCAGCCCCTGCAGGCTGAGAGTCAATAAAGTGATGTCATAATGCTGAGCAGGGACTTGCTTGGTCAACAGTGGCCAACAATGTCAACAGAATGCTGGCGGCATGTGCAGGTGGAAATGCACCAGCAACAACTGTGACGACCGCACTTCAGGGAGGGGCTGATGCTTCATGAAGCACCCAACATGTCTGTCCCTGCATGCAGCTTTGCAGTGTCTCCACTGAAATCCCTGCAAGAGTTTGTCTGGAATTTCAGCAAATCCATTGAGGGACAAACGACTACCAAAGACTGCTCCCTGGAGGTGGGTGTTTGGTTGCAATGAAAGCTCTGGGGAGACCTAAGAGGGAACAGAAGGGATCAGCTGAAGGTCAAGAAGTCCCTTGTTTTGAGCAGAACGCAGATGCCCTGCCCTCAGAATCTCAAGGAGGAGGCAGGTCAAGCAGCCTGCTATGGCAAGATGGAAAGTGAGCTGGGAAAGGGGGAGGGACCACCTCCAGAGAGAGCCAGTTTACTATTTTAATAAACCTCAGTGTCGGTTCCTTCTCCCAGGGCCCTCATCTGTGTCTGCAATTCCACATAAGTCCCAAATCACACGTTAATTAGAGAGCATGCTTTGGAACAGCCTAGTTCCATCAGATAGTAGCTGTAACTGTGATTTTTCTATCAATTTTCCAAAGCTGGGAAAGAGAGAAAAATGGGGCAAGAAAGAAATTGTAGCAAAAAGAGGGGCAAGTAGGGAGTGAAACTGTACCCTCCTCTCCTGCAGTCTAGGTGTCCATTAGGAAAGGTTCCTTGCTATGGGCCAAAAATGACCCCCAAAATTTCATGTATTAGAAACTTGACCTCCATTGTAACAGTGTTAAGAGAATGGGAAACCCGATTATGGTATTTGAAAGGTGGGGTCTTTAAGAGGTGATTGGATCATGGAGACTGTGGCCTTATGAATGGATTAATGGCTTTATGAGGACAGCAAGTGAGGTCAGCTCATCATTCTATCCCCACCATGTGATTGCGGGTGGCATGGTACCCTGTGGAGAGTTCCCACCCAGAAGAAGGTCCCCTGGACCGTGCACTTCCCAACTTCTGACACTGTAAGAAATAAATTTCATTTCTTTGTAAACTACCTAGTCCCAGATATTCTGCTGATCTGCGGATGGTGCTCATACTTGCCAGGTGCCTGCAAGGCTGGGGTGAGCAGATGGCACAGGGTTTAGTTAGAACGAGCTCTGCATGTCCCGGCTGCGTGACCCCGTGTGGGTTCCTGAACTACCGTAAGCCTCAGTTCCCTCATCTGTAAATGGGACAGTCATGGCGTTTCTCTCACGTGGTTGATTTGGGGAGTAAGTGGAAAAACTCAGGTCATGCTCTAAGCAAAACACCTGATACGTGGTGAGTGCTCAGAATAGTGCCCGGTCTTTAAGAGGTGATTGGATCATGGAGACTGTGGCCTTATGAATGGATTAATGGCTTTATGAGGACAGCAAGTGAGGTCAGCTCATCATTCTATCCCCACCATGTGATTGCGGGTGGCATGGTACCCTGTGGAGAGTTCCCACCCAGAAGAAGGTCCCCTGGACCGTGCACTTCCCAACTTCTGACACTGTAAGAAATAAATTTCATTTCTTTGTAAACTACCCAGTCCCAGGTATTCTGTTAATCTGCGGATGGTGCTCATACTTGCCAGGTGCCTGCAAGGCTGGGGTGAGCAGATGGCACAGGGTTTAGTTAGAATGAGCTCTGCATGTCCCGGCTGGGTGACCCCGTGTGGGTTCCTGAACTACCGTAAGCCTCAGTTCCCTCATCTGTAAATGGGACAGTCATGGCGTTTCTCTCACGTGGTTGACTTGGGGAGTAAGTGGAAAAACTTAGGTCATGCTCTAAGCAAAACACCTGATACATGGTGAGTGTTCAGAATAGTGCCTTGATGAGTATATTTATTCCTCTAGCACAGGGGTTGGCAAACTTTTTCTGTTAAGGGTCAGATAGTAAATATTTTGAGCTCTGCCAGCAACACAGCCTCTAGATAAGGCACTGCCCAGCTGGTCGAGAGATTGGTCATCTAGAAGTTTCCCTCATGGTACCACAGTAGAAGGCTCTTGGCTGAGGCTTTGACCCAGGGGCCTAAGTAGCCACACACCATCCCGCAGCCCTGACACCCCCTGGCTCCCTTGCTGTCCTTGCCTGTGGGGAACAACAGTTTGCTTTCCAAGGATCCCTCTGGGCACTGGGTCCGCCCCCAGGCCCAGTCACCCCTTCAGAGCCCAGCACAAACACCGTGCTCACCAGGCCTTCCAAAACTCTCCGTGAGAGCACTTTGGTTAGGCCCATCTTAGAAGTGTCAAGATTACCCACAGGTCAGATATCATCATCGTCGTCGTCATTGTTGTCTGTGCCAATTCATCCCTCTGGTCTGTACATTCTGTGAGTGGTGGGGCCCTGCCTGCCTTCTCTTGCATTCATCTCCCCTGGCACAGTAGGAGCACGAGGAGTGTAACTGGATTTAAATGGGGATAATACTGTCATAGCACCAGAACCAATAAACCCACAGTGGGGCATTTTCCATGATGGCGGGGGGGGGGGGGCTTTG